CCTCCTCCTCCTCCTCTCTAATCTCAGTTTCTCCACACCTGGATGAGGCGGAGACGGGGCAGGTCGGCCCACCCCGCACGGGGCCTCAGGGGAGCGGAGCGCCGCGGGCGGCTCAGGGCGCCTTCTTCGCTTTCGGCGCCGGGCCCGCGCCCAGGCCGGCGGAGAAGTCGGAGCAGGACAGCTGGGCCTCGGGGGGAAGAGGAGCCGGGCCGAGGCGTCGGCATCGGCGGAGCTCCATCCATCCCTCCCTCCTCCCTTCTCTCCCTGCTCCTCCCGATCTATCGATCGAAATATACGTATGTCCATAAATATATATATATATATATACGCACATAGATCGACCTATCTGTATACATATATCTAATTATGTGTGTACACACATATTTCTTTATGTATGTATGTATATATTTATGTATATATAAGTACCCTCCTCCCTCCTCCCCATCCCTCTTCCTCCCGACTACTCAATACTCCTCATCATCACCGGCACCACCACCACTACCATTACCATCACCGTCACCATCACAATCAGCATCATCAACATCATCATCAGCAGCATCATCATCATCAACATCATCACCATCATCACCAGCATCCACATCAGCACCAGCATCATCATCATCGTCATCATCGTTGTCACCAGCATCATTACCATCATCAGCATCATCACCATCATGATCATCATCAGCATCATCATCGTCATAATCAGAATTTGCATCGTCATCATCATCAGAACTACCACCATCACCATCACCATCATCACCATAAGCATCATCGTCATCGTCATCATCAGCATCATCAGCATCATCAGCATCGTCATCATCGTCCTCATCAGTATCACCAGCATCATCAGCATCGTTATCATCATCGTCATCATCAGCAGCATCATCATCAGCAGCAGCAAAATCATCTTTCGTCTTCGCCCTCTTATCCTGCACGTCCCGAGGTTCGCGTGCCTGACAAGACTCATCTTTCGAGGCCGTCGTGACCGAGACCCGTAGTGCGTCGGCCAGTTTCTCGCACACAGCTTCCCTAACCCTCGACGGCATTCAACCTCCTCAATCGAGTCTCGTTTCGGAGAGGCTCTTGAAACTTTCGGGGCCCGGGCTCAGGCGATTGAGTCTCTCGAGTAAGTTCCTGAACACCTCTTCTGGCTTCACCCCCCCCCTCCATGAGACACCCAAAGGAGGGCTGCGCCCCATCGTGCTGTATGCGGGGCCTGTGCACGTCTGGAAACGATTGCGACGGCCACATATGTTAGATGTCCAATCTCTGCGCAAATACTGGGCGTTCGGACAAGTCGCAGTGCTGAAAATACCGTGTGGTATCAGGCTTTGCGAGCGGAGGTCGCACAAAATCATGACAAGGTCACGGGAGGCATCATTTGGGATGGCACTGCATATTAAGAGACTCTCGGGTTAGACCTCCTCCGCCAGCATGCGCGCGTTTGCGGCATCAACAGTACGACGGTTAATATCACGTATAACTGCTGGCGTGGCCCACGCTTGCTCTGTCTCGGGACCCAATATGGAGCCCTTCCTAACTTGGCGGCTTCTGGTTTACCCGCGAATAGCACTTCTTATGATGTGTCCGTTAGGGCCCACAATGTCGGTGCTTTCGACGTGCCTGTTCAGGAACAGCCTCCGACGTGTGGCTGTCGTCCTAAGCTGATGACGCTAATGTCACCACCGAAGGTTTCGAACAGCAAGTCATTCAGGCCAGCACGAGAGCTGCGGCAGCTCTCTTCATCAAGGTTGAGCTCAAGGTGGCTGTCCATCCTGACAAGCTCAGCCCGCTCGTTAGCAACATTGGCTTGGCGAACAAGATTGCACGCCTTCTCGACAACATGGCTGGTCAACAATCTAACAACGTTGTTTCTCTCGGCACGGGTTTTGCGCCGGCACCGAAGAATGGTACGAGTATAGCCTTCTGGAACAGGAAGAAGCGTTTCAAAGACAGGAAGCGCCGGCATCGGGTGCTCCAGAGGAACCGCCAGAGTCTTCCTAGGGACAAGGGTCGGATCGGGAAAACATGTGTGGCTCGAGTTTTGCCAACGGCCAGGTTTGGATCGGCGGTGGCGGAGGTTAGCGATCACGAGCTTCTCGAGGCTCGAAGAGTCCTTCACTCTTGCGAACCCCCACGTCATAGAGGCCTGCTGTTGCCCTTGTGCTGCACTGGGCCACGGTCGTGTGGCCTGCTCTCACGTGCCCGCAGACGTCTTTCATGTGATCGAACAGCTTTGCCTGATCTGGCGAGCGGCCCCTTCCGATGATGAGGTTTCGTGGCGCAACCCTAGAGGACCGATGCAACGCATGTGTCTGAGGTTGCACCGCTAATGTTCGGAGTCCACCTCCGCCCTCACGGTGCGCAATGATAATGGAAGAGAAATGCATTTAGGATCGACGTCTCCATGCATGCTTGCGCACATGCTCGATCAAGCCACCCAGAGGTATCACGAGCGTAGCCTGGCCAAGCAGCTTCTCGGCTTCCACGGCACTCGGGTTTGTGCGGAGCCCCTCAAAAAGCTGCTGCGACCCTTAGGTAAAGGCTGACCCCCTCGTGAGGAGCATTTGGCCCTCACCTTTTTTGTAAAGGAATTTGGGCCCGTGAGCGCGCATGGAATTTTGGGTACCAAGCTGGCAGATGATGCCCACTTTGCGGTGCTGCCGAATGTGTCTGACACCGAGCTTGTCAGTGACTCCATTCTGAAGCTACGCAGGAAAGAAACGAAGAACTCGACGGTGTACCGCTCGAGTGGCAAACTGAGGCTCTTGACAGTGATCACCAGTTCTTCTTTCATATGGTGATATGGCGTCATCCTGAAAGCCACCTTTCCCATCCTTTGGACAACCCCAAACCGATTATGTGTGATACTGAGGGGGCTAAAGCCCAATGGGGCACCTAGGACCTGGCACGGACAACGTGTTGGCGCGGGATACAGTGCTAGATGTTCTCCCCCAAGCCTTCCAAGCCTCCGAACCTCAGGCCGTGGCTTTACTCCCCATGTTCCAAGAGTATGGGGGGTCAAGGTCCGGAATAGACAGCATGACGGTAATAAGATATAAGATATTTGGTGCTGCTCCTGAGCAGTAAGTTGCGAGACAGAACCGATATCCTGGCCGTCGCCGTTGGGCTTCGGGGCGAACGGCCAGGCCATGTCGCGTCAGTGTCTCACGCGCCCGCACACAGAGCGAGAGAGGTGATTGATATGATGCCAGAGGAGGAACGACGCATCGCTGCCGGTAATTAGAACGTGGACGTCCTGACCAAGCGAGCTCTCCCAGACCACCCGTAACCTTCCTCGCTCGAAGCTCAGAGGGTGGACAAGCGATGCAAGCTCATTAGAATCATCGCCCGCGTTGTGGGCAAAGTGTCGGCTGGCTTCTGCGGGTGAAATTCGAACGTTCGAGCGCGGGTCTCGGGGCCAAGTTTTTGAAGGCAGGGGGGGTGGCATGCTTGGGAGGGCGTGGAGCATACTCGCGCCAGGGGCCTAAGATGTCTCTCGGCGGCTGACCCCGCCACAAGACCCGTGCTCGGTTGACAAGGTATGAATGGCACGAGGGGTTTGTCCCCGTCGTCTCCCCTGGGCACACGCTGGCTCATTGCCGCGTGCAGGCAGGGTCCGAGGAGAGGACACTTTCTGGTCTGCGACTTGCGGTGCACGCACAGCGAATCGCTGTTAATTGTCGGGTCCGGGCTCTTAGAACAAATAAGCTTCCTGGGGCTTCGTCCACCACGCCGCACTGGATCCACGAAGGCCTCTGCCCCCGCTGCCGTGACAAGTCCACGGGGCCGGTCAGCTCGCACAGGGGAGGCAGAGGACCTGCGGTCTGCTGCCGGAGGTGCCGCCTCCGCCTGAGGGGCAGCGGGTGGCACTCCCGCTCTGGAGGTGCTCCCCCAGGGCGCGAGGACGGCTGCGATGTTGCCGAGGGCTCGGGCAGAGGGAGGCCGCAGCAGAGGCTGCGACGGCCTCCTCCTCAGCAGGCACGCGGCAGCCTGCTGCCCACGGGTTCGGCCCCCAGCAGGCTCGCTGACGAAGAGAGACTCCTGCTCCTCCTACCTCGTCCTCGTCCTCGTCCTCCTCCTCCTTCTCCTCCTCTTCCTCCTCCTCGTGCTCCGCTCGCAACTCGCTCCTCGTCGTCCTCCTCGTCATCATCACCCCGCCACTAATGCCCTCCTGCTGATCCTTCTACTACTGCGGTTTCTCCTTTCCTCCTCCTCCTCTTCCTCCTCCTCACACTCCCTGCATGTCTCCCATCAGCCACCCTCCTCCTTTGCTCCTCCTCCTCCTCCTCCTCCTCCTAATGCTGCCTCCTCGTCATCCTCTGTTTCCCTCATATTCCTCCGATCTTCATCCTGGTATTCCTCCGTCCCCTCTGCTGCTGCTCCTCCCCGCTCCAGAGGGGCATCGTGTCAAACGCCCCTTCCTCAAGCCTCCATCTCCACGATGCGGTCGTACTCGACGTCCGCGGTCCACCCGGCGCCGGGCATGAGGTGGCGGACCACGTGCACGAACTTCCTGTTGATCAGCGCGGAAAGCCTGGCGTGCTCTCCTGACTGACCGGCGTGCTTCCACCGCCAGTAGCTCAGCTCGGCAAGGTACTTCAGGGCGCGCAGGTGCGTGCTCGTGTAGATGCCATGGTAATGCATGCGGGCCGTCTGGTCCTGCAGACAAAGGGCGGCATAACAGAACGCTTCGGGGCCCAGCGTGGACTTCTTGGATCGGCGCTGGGCCCCCTTCCTTGGCGCGTAAAGCGCGACAATGGGCCGAGCGCCGACCCGGGAGATCCGCGCAAAGCTCCGAAAACGGTTTGTGTTTATGCATGGCTGCGTTTCTTCGATCCTGGTGTGGCCCGTCCGCCGCCGCCCTCCATTCCGCCTGTTGGAGCAAAAAGATGCCGATACCGCCCCAGACCTCTCCCAGGGTGCCTTCTGAAGTACGGGGGATTGTGGGGGTGCGTTTTGCGGGATGCATCACAGCTCATGGTGTCGCACGATGCTATTGGTTGCGTTGTGATGTCTGTTGTGCAGCGTGCTGGAAAGTTTTGGTGCAAGATCCTGCTTAACGAATGGCTACCGCCCAAGTATCACGTCTCCAAAGAGACAAGAAGCAATTCTTCAACAATCCACTACAAAAACAAGATTGCGTGATCCGCCACAGAAGATGTTCTCCCGTAGCGCTAGACAGTAGGAATCCGTTTGTAATGTGCCACACAAGAGAACCTTTTTTGTAATCCGCATGAGGGGAATCCTGATTGTAGACCGCCAAAGGAAGAGTATCGTGTGCAATCGCCTCGGAGGTAAAGGCGCCCTCCTGCCCCCCTCTCCGAAGGAGAATAATGAAAAGATGAAAAGAGGGAGGGACATATAGGACAACAACATATTATAGCATAGCCAAAAAACAAGAACAAGTGAACAAGTCTTGACGGGAGGGGAAGAACAACTGGGGAAACATACCGCGACAATCGGAATCCTGTTACAATCTACTACATTGGGAATCCTTGTTCATAATGCGCGACACTACGAATCCTGTTGCAATGTGCAAGACACGGCGTCCTCATTTAACCAGCACAAAAAAGGAATCCGGTTGTAATCCATGGCGCAAGGAATACGTTTGCAACCTCGGCGGCGACGATAGGGGCGAATAGCCCAGGGGCGGGCATTACAGGCATTCGCCCGGGAGCCCTTCCGAAGACATAGACCATCGGCGCACCTGGATAATGCGGGATGACGATTCATTAAAAAATGGGAGAGAACGATTAAAAAATAGTTTTCTGCTATTTCTGCATAATTTTCTGACCTGAAGAGAACGATTAATAAAAAAAAGTTTCGAGCCCGCGGCCGATTTTTTCTAATCGTCATCCCGGGCGCCGCCGCGTGAACACGACCCCCGGTCATTTATTAATCGTCATCCTCCATTACATGGATTGCTCTCCCCTGGGCTATTGGCCCGATCGCCGCCTCTGACCATCGCCTCGGAGGAACAGGCGCCCTCCTCCCCGAAGAAATCATGGGAAAGCACACCAACCAATATGGGAAAGAACCAGCTCTTGAGGAGAGGAGAAGGAAAATCATAGCAATTGCCGCGGCAATCGGGATTCGTTTGCAATCCACTACAAAAAATCCTTTCGCAATCCGCGACAAAAGATATCCTTGTTACGCAGACAACAAAAATCCTTCCGCAGGTGCTACAAGGCAATATGTTTGCTACCCGCACATTAAGAGGTCCTTCTGGAATCCGCTACTTAAGGAAACTTGTCGTAGCCGCCTCGGAAGAAAGTCACACTCCTCCCCGAAGAGGTTAAAGGGGAAAGAGGGAAAAGGTAAAACAGATCGAAACCACATGCAACAGCATAGCAAACACATACAAATTTGGACAGCTCTTGAAGGGAAAGAAAGAACAATAGGAACCATTACCGCGACAGCCAGAATACTTCTGTAATCCGCTACAGAAGAATCCTTCTGTAATCCCCCACAAAAAAAATCCGCTGGTAACTGCAACAAGAAGAATCCTTTTTTCCCAACCGCCACAGAAGGAATATTTCTGTAACCGCGACCGAAGAAACTCTTTTTGTAATGTACCACAAGAGCTTGTTCTGCAATAAGCCACAAAAGAAATTCATTGGTGATCTCCTCAGAGGAGAAGGAGCCCTCCTTCCCGAACGAATAAAGGGAAAATCAAAAAGACAATTTGCAAAACCGATAGATAGAAAGCGACCAATAGGGAAGCATGAGCAGCTCTGGAGGGGAGGAACAAACAATAAAGCACTTAGAATATGACAGGATTGCACAAAGGATTCCTTCTGCGACGGATGATACAAGAATTCTGTGGCGTGCTACAGAAGGATCATCCGATGTCCGCGGCATGCGTTCCTTTGTGTCCTCTCCTCCCCTCAAGAGCTCTTCAATGGTTCCTATCGTTCGCTGTGGTGTAACAAATGCTTCCCTCTGTTTCCAGTTTGTTCTCTTTTCACTTGACTTGTTCGGGGATAAGGGCGCCTTTTCCTGCGAAGCGATTACAAACATATTCCTTGTGTTGCGGATTACAAAAAGACTCCTCTTGCGCGGATGACAAAGTAACTCCTCGTGTGGCACATTGCAAAAGGATTGCTACTGCCGCGCGTAACAAGAGTATTCCTTTTGTGGCAACTTACCACAAGGATTCCTTACATAGCGGATCGCACAAGGAATGATCGCTGAGTGTCCCTAATTTCCCGATCCTACTCTCAAGAATTTAGTAATGTTCCCTATGTTTCGCTGTGTTGTTACAAGCGTGTTCATATTTTCAGAGATTGTCCTAACTGGAAGCGGGCGCCGTTCCCCTCCGAGGCGATTACACAAGTATTCCTGTCGTGCCAGGTCATAAAAGGTATTCTTGTGCGGATTACGGAAAGATACCTTTTGCGAAACATTACACCAGGATTCCTACTGCCGAGCGTTACAACAGGATTCTTTATGTGGCGGACTTACGCAAGATTCCCTTTGTAGCGGATCCTAAACGAATTCCCACAGAAGCAAAGGGAGAAGCAGCTGACGAGGGAAGCGAAGATGAGAACCCCACTAACGCACCCCCACAATCCACCAGACTGGAGTACGAGTGCAGACAATAATTCCGAGGAGTGTCCAGCCGTGGCGACGAGGACTCCCCAGGACTCGCAGGATGGCGAGCCGAGACTACGGCAGCTCAGAATCGGTCCCCGCAACGTGGGGTCCGCACGCACCAGTTTTCCGAGCTGCGTCCACCCGCGGCGACGAAGGGGCCCCCCGAAGGCTGCCACTGTCTCAACTGGCCACGGCAGCGACATGTTTCCCCCCCCCCGGACTGCCGGGTCCACGAGGTCGGCCAGCACGGGGCCCTGCGCGTCCAGCATGGTCCGGAAGCCTGGGGAAGGCCCAAGTGTACCCCCAGGGCGACGTGCGCCCAGTGAGGCGGCGCAGCGGCCACAGCTCCAGCCACGGTGGGCGGCTGGGCGGGCGTCCCGAAGCGGGCCCGGAGGCCCCCTCCTCGGGGCACGGCTGTTCTGGGGCACGCTCCCGGCTTCCAAATTCCACTTTCCAAGCCGCGTCTCCAGTGGAGGCCCGCGTTGGGCACGCACGGCGCACGCAAGGGTCGCGCGCCCGTCAGCAGCGCGCAGTGCGCCGCGGAAGAAGTGGCGGCGGAGGTGGCTGGGGCACGTGGGGAAACCAACAGGTAGCGATACCGCTACTCCCTGGACCTCTCCCGGGATGCGTTATGACCAGGATGTCGAGGCGAATCCAGCGGGGGCGACGAGGGCCGCCCAGGAGGCCAGTAAAGGGAAAATGAGGGAAGGGCAGAGGTATGGGTACCTTTCCCTCCTCTGAATACGTTTAGCCTCCCCTGAGAGCCGCGCATGGCTTCCGAGAACGCCTCTGACGACAGCGGCGGCGGCATCGCCCCGCGCGGCGGCGCAGCGCCCTCGCCCTCGCCGCCGCCGCTCCCAGCCTCCGCGGAAGTGCCCGCGTCCCGCCGCTCGACCCCGAGCCGCACGTAGCTGAAGGCGAAGAGGCCGCGGTGCCAGCCCAGCCCCTCCCAGACCTCGCGGGCGGGGAAATCGCATGCGCGCGGGCGCAGATGCTCGACGCTCAGGGGTCGAATCCCCCCGACTTTTTTCTTGGTGATGGGGCGTCGTCTGCTTGCTGCTGGTATCGGCGCGGTGAACCCGCGCTGCTCTTCCTCTGCGCCGCTTCCACTGCCTCTCTCTCCCTCTCTTTCTCTCTCCCCGCCTGCGTGCGTCCCCCGCCGCTCCTCCCTCGGCAACCGCCCCCCACCAGTCTACCTCATGTCTCAAGAGACAGCAACCGTTTCGTAACAGGAACAACAATTAGACAAATATGTAGTAGTAGTAGTAGTAGTAGTAGTAGTAGTAGGAGTAGTAGTTGTTGTTGTTGTTGCTGTAGTCGTAGTCGTAGTAGTCGTAGTAGCCGTAGTAGTCGTAGTAGTCGTAGAAACCGTAGTAGTAGTAGAAGTAGTAGTAATAGTAGTAGTAGTAGTAGTAGTAGTAGTAGTAGTAGTAGTGGTAGTAGTAGTAGTAGTAGTAGTCGTAATAGTAATAGTAGTAGTAGTAGTACTAGTAGTAGTAGTAGTAGTAGTAGTAGTAGTAGTAGTAGAAGTAATCGTAGTAGTAATAGTAGTAGTAATAGTATTAGTAGTCGTCGTAGTAGGAGTAGTAGTCGTAGTAGTAGCAGTAGAAGTAGTAGTAGTGGTAATTTACGAAGTAGTAGTGGTCGCAAACTTAGTAATAAACATACTACTAGTAATGACAGTAAAAGGTGTAGCAGTAGTAGCAGTAATAGTAGCAGTAGTAGCAGTAGGAGTACTAGTCGTAGCAGTAGTAGTGGTAGCAGCAGCTGCAGCAGTAGTGGTAGTAGTAGTAGTAGTAGTAGTAGTAGTAGTAGTAGTGGTAATAGTCGTAGCAGTAGTAGTAGTAGTAGTAGTAGTAGTAGTAATAGTAGTAGTAGTAGTAGTAGTAGTAGTAGTGATAGTAGCAGTAGTGGTAGTAATAGTAGTAGTACGAATAATAGTAGTAGTAGTAGTAGTAGTCGTTGTGGTAGTAGTAGTAGTAGTAGCAGTAGTAGTAGTAGTAGTAGTAGTACTCTAACATTGTAGTGGTGGACATAGTCGTAGTCATAGTAGTAGTAGAAGTAGTAGTAGTGGTAATATTCGTAGTAGTAGTAGTAGTAGCAGTAGTAGTAGTAGTAGGAGTAGTAGTAGTAGTAGTAGTAGTGGTGGTAGTAGTAGTAGTAGTAGTAGTGGTAGTAGTAGTAGTAATAATAGTAGTAGCAGTCGTAGTAGTAATATGTGTAGTGGTCGTAGAAATAACAGTCGCAGTAATCGTAGTAGTAGTCGAGGTCGTAGTCGCACTAGCAGAAGTGGTAGAGGTAGTAGTTGAAGTAATAAAATAGTAGTAGTAGTAGTAGGAGTAAAAGTAGTAGTAGTAGTCGCCGTAGTAGTGGTAGTAGTCGTAGTACTCGTAGTAGTGGCAATAGTAGTAGTAGTAGTCGTCGTAGTAGTAGAAGTAGTAGTAGTAGTAGTAGTAGTAGTAGTAGCAGCAGTAGTAGTAGTAGTAGTAGTAGCAGTAGTAGTAATAGTAGCAGTAGTAGTAGTAGCAGTAGTAGTAGTAATAATAGTACTAGTAGTAGTGATAGAATTCGTGGTAGTAGTAGTAGTAGTAGTAGTAGTAGTAGTAGTAGTAAAAGTAAAGTAGCAGTACGTGTAAAGAAATCCGCCGGCCCCCTCGTGGGGCTTCCAGGCTGCAGGGCTAAGGTTCGCAGTTTCCTGTGCCAACTACAGCTTTCCAGTTTCCACTGTTACAATTATGCTTCTTGCTGCTTACTGCTCCTTGTTACAATTATGCTTTTTGCTGCTGACTGTTCCTTGTTGATGGACCGCGCGAGGGGGGGAGGCCCAAAACGGGCATTTCTACCACGCCCTGCGCGTGTTGTCGGAATTGCTGGGGTGGATAAAAATTCACACCCCTCACGCAGATCGGCGGGGTCAGGGTCCAAAAACACAAGGGATTTGCCACATTTCTGGAATCCGGTGGCACCCCTCACGCAAATCGGCGGGGTCAGGGTCCCGAAACACGGGGGATTTGCCACATTTTTGAAATTTGCGGAAACTTTTCATGCAGATAGGCGGGGCCAGGGCCCAAAAACACACGGATTTACAACATTCCTGAAATTTGCTGGCACCCCTCACGCAGATCGGCGGGGTCAAGGTGCAACAACACAACGGATCCGCCACGTCTGAGAATCGGTGGCACCCCTCACGCAGATCGGCGGGGTCAGGGTGCAAAAACACATGGGATTTGCAACATTTCTGAATCCGGTGGCACCCCTCACGCAGATCGGCTGGGTCAGGGTCCAAAAACACACGGGGTTTGCCACATTTCTGAAATCCGGTGGCACCCCTCACGTAGATCGGCGGGGCCAAGGTCCAAAAACAAAAAGGATTTGCCACATGTCTGAAATTTACTGACACCCTTCACGCAGATCGGCAGGGTCAGGGTCGAAAAACATATGGGTTTTGCCACATTTCTGAAATTCGGCTGCACCCCTCACGCAGATCGGCAGGGTCAGGGTTCAAAAACAAAACGGATTCGCCACACTTCTGAAATCTAGTGGCGCCCCTCATGCAAATCGGCGGGGTCAGGGTCCAAAAACACACGGGATTTGCCACATGTTTGAAATCCGGCGGCGCCCCTCGCGCAGATCGGCAGGGTCAGGGTCCCAAAACACAAGGGATTTGCCAGATTTCTGAAATCCGGTGGCACCCGTGACGCAGATCTGTAGGGCCAGGGTCGAAAAAAACAAACAGGTCACGACACTGCTTCACGGCGGCGCCCAGACCTCATAATTTAGCTTGTGCGTCTCCCATTATGCGAGACAGGGGGCCCGCGGCATGGGGCGAAGCCCTTACGGATAGTAGCGATCGTAGCAGCTGTGGTAATACATCTCCGTTACGAAGGTTGCTAAGATTGACATGTGTGGGCGTTGTGGTGAGAAGTGGTATGGGAGTGATTATTCCTTGTTGTTTCGCACGGGGAGAGATTCAGAGTTGCCTGGAAGTGACCGGGAGTGATTTCTCCCTTGTGACTTTACGGGGGAGTGATTTTATCCTGAATTGGTTATATACTATTAATGCTACCAGGGAAAACCCCTGAAACCTCTCCCGCCAAGCCAGGCCGAAGACTGCCGTGGTAGGAGTCTACGGGGGAAGGGGGGCCACTCGGAGACGCCCTAGTCGTCAATGCTCAAGATGAACAACTTTCGTAACGGGTAAGTAGTCGCAATAGAAGTCGTAGTCGCCCTAGTAATAGTAGTAGTAGTCGTAGTAGTAGTAGTAGTAGTAGTAGTAGTAGTAGTAGTAGTAGTAGTAGTAGTAGTAGTAGTAGTAGTAGTAGTAGTAGTAGTAGTAGTAGTAGTAGTAGTAGTAGTAGGGTTGCACCTGGTCCTCGTGTCGCTACAAACCTCACCTTCGTGTACTCTTCTTGTGTATCAGGCCTAATAGAACTCCTACCAGGGGAATTACGAAAACATTAGTTTCAAACCTGGCCTTCGTGTCTTTCGCGCCAATGCCTACCTTCGTGCACTATTCGCTGTAGAGGCTGTAGATTGCATTCGTATTAGAAGCGAACAAAAAACGACAGTTTTACACCTGTCCTTCGTGTCGACGTCGGATTTGGAGCAACCGCCACTGCCAGCTGCTTCGCTTCGGCACAACCCTCTCGAGGATCGTGGGCCTGGCCCTCCGACGCGCGATTCCGGCGCGCACTTCACTAGGATCGTGGCCCTGGTCCAAGTGGGAGCGCTGCCGAAGGCCCACCGACGTCCAATTCCGGCACGCCGCTCACGAGGATCGTGTCCTGGCCCACCTGGGAGCGCTGCCGACGGCCCACCGATGAGCAATATCGGCGCACCCCTCACACGGATCGTAGACCTCGCCACATTTGGATCGCCGCCCGACGCTGAAGTTCGGCACACCTCTCACATGGATCGTGGCCCTGGCCCAATGTGGAGCGCTGCCGACGGCCCACCGACGCCCAATGCCGGAACACCCCTCACGAGGATCGTGGCCCTCTGGTCCACTTGAGAGTGGGTTTTCATAAGGACGTCGTTCTGGTTTTATTCGGGAAGGCATTGTTGTGATGGTTAGGAGTTCCTTCATCCTCCTGCTTCCCTTCCGGGTGGGATGAGGAGGAGGGGGAGGAGGAAGAGGAGGAGGAGGAGGAGGAGGAGGGAGGAGGAGGAGGAGGAGGAGGTGGGGGACGGGCAGGAGGAGGAGGAGGAGGAGGAGGAGGAGGAGGAGGAAGAGGAGGAGGAGGAGGAGGGGGAGGAGGAGGATGAGGAAGAGGAAAGCGAGCAGGAAAAGAGGAACGCTGTTTTCTCGTTTTCCACAATGGGTTTGCGAACCTCACCTTCGTGTACTATTGGCTCTATAGCCCCTGTATTGTTTTCTTACGAGCGAACGGCGAAATTGTGAGTTTCCGAACCCCTTCTTCGTGTACTATTAGAATCAGTGGGCTTCCGAACCTCATCTTCGTGTACTATTAGCTCTATAGCCCCTGTATTGTTTTCCTATCAGCGAATGGCGAAATTGTGGGTTTCCGAACTCCTGCTTCGTGTACGATTAAATTCCGACTATTCTATGTTAGTCTATGTGGTTTAAACTGATTGTGTGGAACCGAACCCGAACCCGAACCCGAACCCGAACCCTTACCCTTACCCTTACCCATTCATTCTTAGTAGACACGAAGGAGAGGTTTAACCCTAGTACTACTACTACTACTATTACTACTACTACTACTACTACTACTACTACTACTACTACTACTACTACTACTACTACTACTACTACTACTACTACTACTACTACTACTGTTACTACTACTACTACTACTACTACTACTACTACTACTACTGCTGCTACTACTACTGCTTCTACTACTACTAGTGGTAGTCGTAGTAATAGTATTCGTAGTACCCGTGGTAGTTGCAATAATAGAAGTAGCTATAGTAGTTGTAGTAGTAGTAGTA